TAAGACAGAGATGAATGATCAATGGCTAAGATTGTCTTCTGTTAAAGGAAACATATGAGGAAGTGAGATGAAGTGGAAAAGGAAAAAGCAAAGAAGGTATCAGAGAGAAATGAGGCAAATAAAAAGAGGGAGTGAAAGAAGTAGTAGAGAAGGAGGAAGTCAGTAACTGAGGAAGCAAGTGGGCACATAGAGAAAGGTGATATGATGGACTCTTGAATACCTTAGGTTTCTGTTCCCTTTACAAAATTAGTTTTTTGTTAGTTTATTATTTACTTATTTTTACTAAAAGCCTGACTTTATAGGTTATTTCAAGCAAAAACAAAAAAGAAAAAAACAAATCTATAAACCAGTGGCTAATAACACTGTGTTTAATAGACTACAGCCATAAGTATTAAAAAATACCCCAGACCTCTATTTTGTTCTATCAAAATTTCAGGAAAGTTTCTTATAAAAATTAAAATAAGTTTAGTGCGTTTAAAATAGGGAAAAGGAGAAGGTAGAGTACATGCTGGGGAGAAACACTTATTTTTTGGTGACGTCTAGTCTTCAAAACGCTACCAATACATATCAATGGGGCATGGATGCCAACTTTCCCCAAAAAGTATTCTGGTTACCTGATATGTGAGCGTAGAGAAATATCCTTACATCAGGGCCAGAGAACACATATAAATGTTAAGTTATAAGGTACTGGACGCTTTGAGCACAAAATCAATCTTTTCAATAACTCTGCTCCCAGTGGGTCTGGCATTGTGCCTGACATTCCTGCTATGGAAATTCCTTTGAGTTACAACTTGGCCTTCAGAAAAATCTTTGTTAAATCAAAGTATATGACTTGGGAGGTTTAAGGCGTCGTATCCGTTTGAATTAGATAATTAGCTGTCAAAAGGAGCCTCTAGAGAGAGAAACATAGGTTAAGTACATTTAATTGAGTGAAAGTACAAACGGGGATAGAAGGATTTTCACAGATCATAGCGCTGTTACCACCTGGAATAGGAGTAAGCAGGAAGCAGAGGCCTCAGAAGGTCTTTGGGTATCTACTGTAGAGAAATCTGCAGAAAAGATAGCATCAAACAGGCCAAAGGCAGCACAGAGCAATTATGAAGTAATTAAATTGAATGAAAAGGAATGAAAATAAACATGAAAAGAAAGAGAAGATACGGAAAAGAAGCACGTGAAAATTTTATGATAAAATACGATAACTGGGAATAAAAAGTAGGTGAACTCGAAAGCAGTATAAAAAATCACCACACAGCGTGATCATCTGTATTTCTGTATTTTTTATTTTATGACAATTAAAATGAAATATTTTCTCTTTTTCTTTTTCTTTCCCTCTCTCCTTCTCGCTCTCTCTGTTTCTTGCGTGTTTAAATTACCTCATCTGAAAGTGGTTTTAGCTGGTTTCTTTACCAGGACACTCTTGGGAAAAGATAAAACGTTTCTCCTTCATAGTGAGTTTTTAACAAGATCATAGATCAAAATTATTGGATAAGAAAATAAATTGCATGTCACACTGTCCATTCTAACTTCCATAAATTGTATTTGGTTATGAAATACAGTTTATAACATTGTAGATACAAGTAATTGTGTAGGTGTATTCATTTTACTGACATTGAGAGATAATGTAAATTGTCTTCTCAAGTGTTGTTCAACTTATTTAGTCCAAATTTATCTTTTAAAATTTGTAACTATTGTCACTTTACCTCTGACCTCTGAATTTTTCAAACAAGGATAAATAAAATTTGCTGATTTATTGATGTTCAAAGGATAAGAAACCATTGCTATACGAATTCAATTTCTGCTGCACATATTTCCATAGCAATGTTGAAGAATAATCAGAGAGTTTTTTTAACTGCTTATTCTAAACTTTTCTAAACTTGTTAGCCTTTTAGAATTACACAGTTGATTAAGTATGAGTCATGCCTCGTGGGTGTCTTTATATACCCTTTTTCAACATGTGGTCATAGCCCTGTTCTCTTTCTTTTCTTCTTAGAGTCCAGTCGTATTAGATTAGAGCCCCCCCCACCACTCTTATGACCACATTGACCTTAATTACCTCTTTAAAGGCCTTATCTCCAAATATAGTTACATACTGTGGATTAGGCCTTCAGCATAAGAATTCTGAAATAATGTACTACAGTCCATAGCAACAGGCCTTCCTCAATCATTGCCTTTATCCCTGTGGGGTGGGTTCCTTGCAGTAACATTGCTGCATCATATGTGAAATTTTATGTTTAATTTTAATAGATGCTGTTTTTCAATAAGATGGTAAAATTTATCTTTTTTGTCAGCAAATTTTCTTCATATCTCTACTGGGCATAGTTGAATAATTCTTTTCATTTTCTTTTCATTCAGAGGGGATGATATATCTCATTGATAATTTAGTATTTATTGTCCTCATGAGACCAAACTTCAGATTCTTTATATAAATTGGTTGGACATTGAGATTTGATCCCTCTAGAGTCTGTATTGTTATCCTTTGTTCAGTTTTAATGGGACTGAGAGCATTTGTTTTTGTTTCTTGCAGACTTGGAATTACACTTCGTATAAGAGATGATAATGATGATAAATTATTCACTATATATTTTTTCTGGAGTCAGTAATGTATTTTGCCAAATAGAGTTTTTGAGAGTCCGGGTTTGTTTGTGAGCTGTTCCTGAGAAATATCGAATAAGCATTTCCAGTTCCCGTTAGAACTTGCACTTTACTTCCCACTTTCGTTTTTTAAAGTTAGGCATCAGTGTGTGACTTGTTTTGGCGAATACACTGTGAGCAGAAAAGGCAAGTCAGGTTTCTGGGAAAAAGTATCTGGAGCTAGTGTATTATAAAAACCAGCATCATCTATGATGATAATTTTTACTAATCTCTGGTGTTAGGGTGATAAGAGTCACTGACAGCCTAGGATGAATGTACAATGTAATAAGATATAGGCCTTTATTTTTAGAACCATTAAGGTTTTGCAATTTTTATAACAGCACAATCTAGTCTATCTGAATTAATAGAGTTAGTAACGTTCTTTCAAACTCTAGTTTACACTGGATTTAGATTTTCTTAAAAATATTTTCATATGGTTTTAAATAAATAAAACATTTAAAATTTTTCAAATTTATTTTTATAAATAAGGTAGACATAAAGGTCTGAATCCATTTTATTTCATTTGTACAACCAGTTGTAAGAGCGATAAGTAAGTCATTCCAACCCATTAAACTGCTGCTTTTTTCATCTATACAGTTCTCACAAATATCACTTTCTCATTCTGGATTCTATATTCAGTTAAATGAAATAATATTTTATTCTGGTCCTACACCTATATAAACTGATTTGTGGTTTTATCCTATATCTTAATGTACTGTAAATTTTCATAGGGCCTGTTATCCAGCTGTTCTTATTTTTTTCATAATTTTGGCTTTTATTAATTTATCTATTATTTTCTTTTTGAATTTTTATTCTTTTATATAAAACATAAATAATTTTATATAAATCCAAGACAATATACAATAAATAGTGCCTTTTAGGTTTCAACTTTCCCTATGGTGTAGTAATAAGAAGTGGATTTCTCGTCACATCATAAATAACTAGAAGACTACACCAAATATTTAAAATTATTATGAAACAATAAGTCAAAAGTAGAGCCAAGTGGAATTCAATAAATCTTCAATTAATCTAAAACAAGGTATAAAAAAGGAAAACAAGTAATAAAAAACACATGGAGAAAAGAGAAAACAGAGAAAGATGATAGACTTGAATCTATCCAGATTAATAAATTACACTAAAAATGCATGGGCAAACATGTCATTTAAAAGGCATGGACGGCCAAGCTGTGTGTTTGTGTGTGTGTGCGTATATATATATATATATATATGAAAAGAACAAGCTACATACTTTCTACAGGATACCCACTTTAAATAAAATTCACATATACATTAAAAATAAAAGGAGAAAAATCATACTCATTGTATATCAATGAAGGCTAGTGAGGAGACAGCAGGGAATAATTTGAAGAGGGAAAGTTTACATTAAAGAATTACTCTAATAGAGAATTAGAATAATGAGGGATTAGCTAGTCAGAAGCACAGAGAACTAGAGAGAATACACGAATAGCAGATAAAAGGAGCAGCTGACCATCTACAGGGCTGAGAGAGAGTGCACAAGAAAGAGAGAAACTCCCAGAAGTTAGATTCAGACTTTGTTGGAGGAAGCACAGCCATGATTCAATCCATAGCAGAGTAATTGTGGAGATGCAGCTGAAGAACATTTTGGAAACTTGACTTATGAATCTCGCTGGAAATTCACCCTCTAAGACAAGGATTGCAGACTTTCCATGAAGGGCCATATAATAAACATTTCAGGCCTTGTGGACTACCATACGATCCCTGTCACCATTACCGTATTCTGCAGTTGCAGTGTCAAGGCTGCCAGTACAACTAACTAAAGAAATGGGTGTGGCTAGGTTCCAATAAAACTTTCTTAGCAAAAACACCTGATAGGCTAGAGGTGGCATACTGGCTCTAGTCTTCTAATAACTGCTCTACAGTGTGGGGGAATTATCTTCAAAGGATGTTCTCACTGGAGGCACTCTGCTACAGAACAGCCTGCGGGAAGCTGCTGGCTGCTGGACACTACAGAGCCTGGTGTCAGAAAACCCTCCTCACAACAGGGATTTGTTACCAGGAAAGCTGTGTATGCTGTAGAAATGATTTATTTTTCAATTTAACTTTGCCAAATTAAGAAAAAACTCCATTAGGATTCCAACTTAAGAATTTACAATATTTGGTTATTCTATTTCTATAATATGTCTCTCATGGCCTATGTTTATCAATAAACAGTTATCCTTCATATTGATCCTGCTTACTTTCTGAGAAATTTATTTTTAATATATCATTTTTTAATTATTCTAACTTTAAACATGGACTGTTATTGCCATAATATGCACAATAATTACTGAATGCAAATGAATATTTTGCCTTTTCTTAAAACTTTTAATTTTTTATTTGTGGATACAGTGTCTCACCTGTGTTGCCCCTGTGGGCCTTCAACTCCTGAACTCAACAGATCCTCCCGCCTCAGCCTCCAGAGTACTGGGACTACAGGTGTGTCTCCCTGCTTGGTTTTGTTTTGGCTTATTTATTTAGTATTAATTAATAATTTCATCTTAGGTTTTAATTGCCAGAGTTTCAAATTGTAGAGTTGTAATTCCTCTCCTATTTATTAAAATATAAAGTGGAATTTGAAAATGCCTCTATCTATCTAGCTAGCTAGCTATCTCTATTATCTATGTATTGAAAATAAATATAGTATCATTCTATTCCTAATTTCCTATTTTTTCCTCTTCTAAAATTTCGGTGGTTTCTGTGGTGCAGATGGTTTTGGTTACATGGATGAGGTCTATAGTGTTGAATTCTGAGATTTTTTCGCACCCATCACCCAAGTGGTGTACAATGTACCAATGCATAGGCTTTCACCCCCCCCATTTCTCTCCCAGCCTCCCTCACTGAGTCCCCAAAATGTGTTATATCACTCTGTATGTATTTTGATCATCCTGGCTTACTCTCCACTTTTAAGTGAGAACATACGGTATTTAGTTTTCCATCCAGAGTTATTTCACCTAGAATAATGGCCTCCGGCTCCATGCAATTTGCTGCAAAATATATTATTTTGTATAATCATTTTATATTATTATTTTGTTGTTTTTATGACTGAGTAGTATTTCGTGGTGTATGTTTACTACATTTCCTTCATTCACTCATTGGTTGATGGACGCTTAGGTTAGTTCCGCATCTTTGCAATTGCAAATTATGCTGCTATAAACATGCATGTAATATGTCTTTTTCATAAGATAACCCTTTCTCTTTCATTAGATTCCCATTACTTGGATTGCTGGATCAAAATGCAGTTCTACTATTCTTTTTTTTTTTTTTTTTTTGAGATGGAGTCTTGCTGTGTGGCCAAGCCTGGAGTGCAGTGGTGCGATCTCGGCTCACTGCAACTTTCAACTCTCTGGTTGAAGTGATTCTTCTGCTTCAGCCTCCCAAGTAGCTGGAATTATAGTCAGCTGCCACCATGCCCAGCTAATTTTTGTGTTTTTGGTAGAGACGGGATTTCACCATTTTGGCCAGGATGATCTAGATCTCCTGACCTCATGATCCACCCGCCTCAGCCTCACAAATTGCTGATAGCAGGCATGAGACACTGCACCCAGCGTTACATTTATTTCTTTAACGCATGTCCATGCTGTTTTCCATAGTGGTTGTACTAGTTTACATTCCCACCACCAGTGTAAAGGTGTTCCCTTTTCAGTTCACTCACACCAACATCTATTGTTTTTTGAGTTTTTTAATTATTTACTAGTTTACATTCCCACCACCAGTGTAAAAGTGTTCCCTTTTCAGTTCACTCACACCAACGTCTGGTTTTTGAAGTTTTTAATTATGGCCATTCTTGCAGGAGTAAGGTAGAACCTCATTGTGGTTTTAATTTTCATTTCCCTTATGATTAGAGATGTTGAACATTTTTTCATATGTTTGTTGGCTGTTTGTGTATCTTGTGACAAATGTCCATTCATGTCCTTTGTTCACTGTTTGATGGTGTGTGTGTGTGTGTGTGTGTGTGTGTGTGCTGATTTGTTTGAGTTTCTTGTAGATTTTGGAAACTAGTCCTTTGTCCAATGCATAGTTTGCAAATATTTCCCCCTACTCTGTCAGTTGTGTGTTTATTCTGCTGATTATTTCTTTAGTGTGCAGAAGCTTTTTTAAAATTAGGTCCCATTTATTTATTTTTTCCTTGCATTTGCTTTCGGGGTCTTGATGATTAATTCTTTGCTGAGGCCAATGTACAAAATGCTATCTTCTAGAATTTTATGATTTCAGGTCTTAGATTTAAGTCTTTGATCCATCTTGAGTTGATTTTTGTAGGAGGTGGGAGATAGGTATCCAGTTTTATTCTTGACTTCTGGCTTGCCAGTTTTCCCAGCAACATTTATTTAATAAGGTGTTCTTTCTCCATTTTATGTTTTTGCATGTTTTTAAAAGATCAACTGGCTGTAAGTATTTGGCTTTATTTCTGGGTTCTCTATTCTGTTCCATTGGTCTATATATTTTATTTGTTTGTTTGTTTGTTTATTTATTTATTTATTTGAGACAGAGTCTCGTTCTGTCACCCAGGCTGGAGTACAGTGGCACTATTTTGGCTCACTGCAATGTCCATCTCCTGGGTTCAAGTAATTCTCCTGCCTTAACCTCCCATGTAGCTGGGTTTATAGGTGCTTTTTTATACCACACCTAGCTAAATTTTTTGTATTTTTAGTAGAGATAGGGTTTCACCATGTTGGCCAGGCTGGTCTTGAACTCCTGACCTCAGGTAATCCTCCCACCTCAGCCTCGCAAATTGCTGGGATTACAGGCATGAGCCACTGCACCTTGCCTATGTGCCTATGTATTTATATAAATTTACCATTTCAGTAAATAGAACCTTGCAGTATAATTTGAAGTCTGATAATGCAATTCCTCCAGATTCGTTCTTTCACTTAGTATTGCTTTGGCTATGCTTTTGGTACCAGATGAGTTTCAGGATTGTTTTTTTCTCCTTTCTGTGAAAAATGATGATGGCATTTTGGTGGCAATTGCACTGAATCTGTAGATTGCTTTGGGCAGTATGGTCCTTTTCACAATATTGATTCTTCCTATCAGTGAGCATGGGACATGTTTCCATTTGTTTGTGACATCTCCGATTTCCTTTGGCAGTGTTTTGTAGTTTTTCTTGTAGAGGTTTTGCACCTTCTTGGCTGAGTATATTCCTAGGTTTTGTTTTTGATTTTGGTGTCTTTGAAGCTGCTGTAAACGAGATTGAATTTTCGATTTGTTTCTTAGCTTGGTTGTTGGTGTATAGCAGTGCTACTGATTTACGTACATTGGTTTTGTAACTAGAGACTTTGCTGAATTCATTCACAGATCTAGGAGCTTTTTGGATGAGTCTTTAGGTTTTCTAGGTATATGTTCATATCATTAGCAAACAGCTACAGTTTGGCTTCCTGTTTTTCAATTTGGCTGCCTTTTATTTCTTTCTCTTGACCGATTGCTTTGGCTAGAACTCCTAGTACTATGTAGAATAGCAGTAATTAAAGTGGGCATCTTTGTCTTGTTCTGGTTCTCAGGGGGAATGCTTTCAACTTTTCCCCATTTGGTATGATGTTGGTTGGTTGTCATACATGGCTTTTATTACTTTCAGGTAAGTGCCTTCTATGCCTAGTTTATTGAGGGTTTTTATCATAAAGGATGCTGGATTTTGTCAAATGCTTTTTATACATTTATTGGGATATTGAGATGATCACACAGTATTCATGTTTAATTCTGTTTATGTGATGTATCACATTTATTCACCTGCATATGTTAAACCATCTCAGCATCTCTGGGATTCAACACACTTGATCACGATATGTTATCTTTTGATGCACTGTTGGATTTGGTTACTAATTTACTATTTATTATACAAAAATGAACATTCAGTTTTAAAAAATTCTCTTTCTTCATCAATTAAGATGATTATTTTTCCTTCTTTAAACTATGTGAATGAACTTAAAGGGACTAAATTACCATTAAGTGATATGTACAAAATGTTGATTGTTTGAACTATAATATTGGTCAATAGTTACTTTTGTTTTTAAAATACACAAGTTTAGAAGCATCATTTATATTTTGATATATAGAAAATGTGGATATGTGCTTGTGTTATAGTTTATTATCCACAAGTTACATAATTCTGGACTTATCCTGGAAATTATTATGTGAACAATGAATTAGTATTATAAACAAACATATACATTTAATATTTAAAAGTCAGTTACATTTCCTTTCATCTTATTTTAAAATTTTTTAGTTCATAAGCTGTTCTTCATATATAAATGAAAAAATAATTAAAATGATTGATTATTCTATCAGTGATGAACAAAAGTCACAATGCCTACATTCAGCATCTATCATGTTTTCTATTAGTTAGCTTTCCAGAGCCAGTTTTCTTAAGATTTATGTTCTGCTTCTGTGCAAACATAATCATCAAAGAGAGCGTAATGAGACATCATCAATTTAATTTAAATTTTCAAATGTGCCAAGTTGATTGATCTTTTAAAGTGCCATAGGGATCTTGAAGGTAAACATCTTTTTCAGCATTATTAGTTTAAATCGGTGGTACAGTGGATCCTATGAGAGTATTATGAACACTGAATCCTTCATAAAATTTTATATGCCAGTGCACTAAATTATAACATATGCTTGAAAGACTAAAACTTAATTAGCACAGCCATGCAGGAAAATTAAGGAGTCAATATCATAATTTCACAAAAAGTCTTTAAACTGTTTTGAATTATATAATTTAAAAATATTATCTCTTCTCACAAACTAATAAAAGCTCATGTTGCTAAGGGCTCAATTAGGTAACATACAGTTTAAGAAGTTTCATTGTGTATCAGAGTTCATCATATGAATTCAACTGTGTAAGTCAAGCTTCTTCCTGATCATCAAGATATTGGTAAATCATATTGGGGCCAAAATTGAACTTGTTTCTTTGACTTGTTTTGGGTTCATAACTTTCCTTCTTGACATCAAATGCCCCACATGGACAACAGTTTAAATAGCTGGCAAGTATGTTCAGTAGAATGAATAGATGTCTCTATATAGAATACCTAAAAGCTCACTACATCTTTGCATCTGTTTCTTTAGGTTGCTAAGGGAGAAACAGAAGCATGTACTCTATGTAGTTTTCTATAAGTAGGTAACAAAAAATTATTAATATAAGAAAAATATTCTTAAAACCAAGTCAACCTTTAAAACACAACTGTTGGGTCAGTAATGTTGCAGGGGAAAAAAAAAAAGACAGTTATTTTACCTGAGTTAATTCAGTGTAAGGAATCACTAAATAGCTATAAAAAAAAAAAAAAAAGGAACACAGCAATATTACACCAGCTGAAACGATGGGAAGCAGTTACCAAAGGGAGTGGTGAATTACTGATGCTTTAAAGCTTGAGAGAGGGATCCCTTGACCAGGGACACAGACCTTGCCAGCCAGGGCCCCAGCTAGCTGGCACTGTCATATCAGAATA